CCCTGCTAAGCCAAGTTGGTCTTCTGCCATACTTGCTAATATTCCTGGGTACCGGGATGGTTTGTTCCTGCAGTCTCAGTAAGTCTTCTTTAAAGTACAGCCTGCTCTTCTGGAGTCCTCTCCCCCTCAGTCTGGCTTGCCATGAGTTCCCCAAGCAAGTCGAAGTCTGCTTTTTTGAAGTCCAGGGTCGTTACTCTGCTGGTCTCCATCCTTCCTTGCCTCAGGATCCTGAACACAATCATTTCGTGGTCACTGCTGCCCAAGTTGCTATCAGCTACTACATTCCCCACCAATTCTTCCCCATTTGTGAGCAGCAGGTCAAGAAGAACATGCACCCTAGTTGGCCACTCCAGCGCTTGCACCAGGAAATTGTCCCCAGCACTCTCTAAAAACTTCCTGGATTGCCTGCAATGTTTGAAGAAAGTCACATCCACCACTTCCTCCTGTTCTGGTAGTCTATACCAACCCCCACCAAGACATCATCCTTATTGTTTTCAGAATTTTCAACAGAGCTATCTCCAGTTTCATACTGGAGTTCTGAGCTCTTTTACATACAGCACAAGTTTTCCTCGTCTTCTCCCCTGCCCGTCTTTCCTGAACTGTTTGTACCCATTGATGACAGTGCTCCAGTCATGCAAGTTATCCCGCCAAGTCTCCGTTATTCCAATCAGGTGATAGTTCTGTGACTGTGCAAGGACTTCCTGTTTTTCCTGCTTGTTTCCCAGGCTTCATGCATTTGTGTACAGGTACCTAAGGTAACTAATTGACTGTCCCGATTTTTCAGGAAGTATGTGCTCACCTCCCTGTTGCACCCTCCTGCTTGCTCTTTCTCCAGGTGTCCTGCTTCCCCACTTACCTCAGGGCTTTGATCTCCATCCTCCAGTGAACCTAGTTTAAAGCCCTCCTCACTACGTCAACAAGCCTGTCTACAAAGATGCTCCTCCCTCTCTTTGTCAGGTGGATCCCATCTCTACCCAGCAATCCTTCTTCTTGGAACAACATCCCATGGTCAAAGAAGCCAAAGCCCTGCTTGTGACACTACTTGCGCAGCCAGGTGTTGATTTGCAGAAAGCACCTGTTCCTGCCTGGGCCCTTTCCCTTGGCCGAAAGGATCAATGGATATACAACCTGAGCCCCAGACCTCCTCACCCTTGCACCCAGAGCCCTGTAGTCAGTTTTGATCTGCCCAGGGTCTCCCTTCGCAGCATCATTGGTGCCCACATGGAGGAGCAGCATGGGATAGTAGTCAGAGGGCCAAATTTAAGAGAACCTTCCACTGGTTATATTCTATGACTCTCTGTCTCCACCTGGCCAACTTACATTTGCTACTTACATACGTACATACAACCCAACACTCAATGCCAAAGAAAAACAGAAAGAACTATTTTATGCTGACATCTTGACTATCATCCCGAAAAAGGACAAAATCATTCTCCTTAGAGACTTCAGTGCAAGAGTTGGCCAGGACTTTAACATGTGGGAGGCACCACAGGGAAGGAAGGAGTGAGCAAGGCCAATTCCAATTGCATCCTGTTACCCAGTAAATATGCAGAGCATGACCTTGTCATTACTAACACCATCTTCAGACAACGCAACAAGTCCAAAACAACACGACAACACTGCCACTCAAAACAATAGCACCTTCTAGACTATGTCATTGTAGAGCAAGTGATCTTAAAGACACCCCTATAACACGTGCCATGAGAGAAGCCAATGACAGCCAAATCAATCATCAATTAGTGAGATCAATCATGTCCATCAGGGTTGCACTGAAACATCAAAAAAAACCAAACCCAAATCAGTCCAAAGACAGTACAGCATGAAATGCCTTCAGACCCTTAGATACCACAAAACCCTCCAAACATCTCAGTAAAAAACTCACCAATCTTAGGACTGAAAATGGTAGCACTTGTGTTGAGGAAGATTGGCAAACTCTAAAAAAGACTATCCATGAGGCTTGCAAGGAGTCTACCACCCAATGCCATCAGGACTGGTTGGATGAAAACAAAGCTGAGATCAAAGCTCTTCTCAATTAGAAAAGAAAAGCTTTGTGACTGGCAAAACCATCCAGTCAGAAGAAGGGAACTTCTTACTGGCTTAAAGCTGAAGCCCAGAGGAAGATTTGAAAAATCAAAAACAAATGTTGGGAAGAGAAAATGAAAGAAATGCAACAATTTGTTGACAACCATGACATGTGGAGCTGCTTTGCTGCAATCAAAGTTCTGTATGGACCAAATTCTTGTGGACTCTGAAGACGGCAGTACACTCCTTAAAAACGAGTCTATCAAAAACCACTGGAAGGAGTGCTACCAAAAGCTCCTGAATCAAGAATTGATGGTGATTAATGAAACCAGTGACACCATCACACACCATCCAGTAAGGGAAGCACTTACCAATCCACCAACTTCTGAAGAAGTCTACCAGGTAAGACAGATGAAGAACAACAAAGCATCTGGCCCTGATGGCACACCAGCTAAGGTCTCTAAGGTTGGTGGCCAATTATGACCAACAAGGTACACACACCGTTTCTTAAAATCTGGAACAGTGAGGAAATTCCCATTGACCTAACAAATGCCAATATTATCACCATTTTTAAAAAAAGGGAGATACCTTGATAAGTCTAACTGTGGACGCTATCTCCCCCCTCTTCATTGCTGGGAAGAGCCTCACTCCAATTCTGGTGAACCAACTGCTCCCTCTTGCCAAAGAAATCCTTCCTGAGTCTCAATGTGGTTTCAGACCATCAAGAGGCACCATGGACATGATTTTTGCGGCCCTGCAGATCCAGGAAAAATGCCAAGAACAACACCAGGAACTATATATGGCCTTTATTGATTTAACCAAATCCTCTGACTGTTAACCGTAAGGCTCTATGGAAGTCCTTACCAAATTCTGGCTGCCCAGGAAAATTTATCGACATCTTAAGACTCCTTCCTGAACAGATGACTGCCTCCAGCCTATGCAGTGGCTCCACTATGGAGCCCTTTAACATTCAAACTGGTGTCAAGCAGGGCTTCATGACTGCACCTATTCTGTTTTCCATCTTTCTTGCTGTCATCAAGATGCTCATCCATGACCATCTGATACATGGCATTGGATGGATGAAAATCTTCAATCTCTCCCGCCTCCATGCCAAAATCAAAGTTATATTGGTCTTGATTGTAGAACTTCAGTATGCCAATGATTGTTCTGTCATTGCACTTACTGTGGAGGACCTACAAACAGCCCTTAACTGCTTCTCTCAAGTATACTAATATGCCTTCATATTAAGTGTTAAATTCTCAATCAATAAAAGTGGTAGTATTAGAGTAACTGTGATGGTCCATAAGTTATTCAAGAGGCAAAGATTTTTTGGAGCAATACCTTTTAATGTTCCAACTGTATAGTCGAGATAAAAATCAGACAAGCTTGCAGATGCCAAGCATTCTTCTTCATGTCTGAAGAGGAAAGCAAGCACAGAATTTTTTAAGAGCATTTGAAAAAAGCAGGAAACTGGAATGGAGGGAAATTTCCAGGGGTAGCAGACAAACAATTAGCAGAAGAAAAGAAGCTGGTTACTGGGTGAGCAAGACCTATCCAGATGGAGGAAAGAAATTATCACCTATAATGCGTAAGAAGAATTTCAGGAATCAAGCAGATTACAGTGTGTCATAGCATCCATTTTGATGTTCAGTCCTTTGTTCCTAGTCCGCTGGACACTAGGAACCAAGGACTGAACATCAACATGGATTTTATGACCTGCTATAATCTACCCGACTCCTGAAATTCTTCCTATATGTTACAGGTAATGATGACCTTCCTCCCTCTTGATATCCATTTCAATTTTGCAAACATTTCTGCCAAAAAATAGACCTTCTCACAGTATCACTACTTTGACTTATCTAATCTAGCAAAATAATGTATTTCTTTTCCTGTTTAAATATTCAAGGATGTCCCTTTTCCATAAAGATGCTTTGTTTTGTTCATTCTCTGTGTACATTTTATTTCTGGCCCAGAACCACAACAATCTTTATTATCCAAAGTGGTGATTATACACTTAAATACTATTTATTACTAATCCATGCCTTGTCTACATCTTCAGGTTTTCAGCTTTTATCGAGATGATTCATTAAGTGGAGAGTTGTCTTATTCATGCGTGCCATAAAAAAAATTGTGCAAATATTCATAGTACTACTGTTCCCTAAAATATCTGCCAGAAATACAGTGCAAATAGTTCCATCTAGCAAATTAAAAAGTATCAGATACTTCAACACACACTGTGCATCCCCACAACCAAATGTTCTGCTGCGTCAGATTCACATATCACTTTTGTGTCTACAGGTTTAACAATAACTTATTTTCTCACATGCAGCACAACCCAATATATAGCATACACCCTTATTTTAAAGGGCAGCCTGAGGGGAGAGGGGGGAAAAAAAAAAATCTCCCACTGAGAGGAAGAGCAACAGTTAGCGAAGTACGCTGGATCCAAACCTGCTGCCAGCTCCTGACGTCAGCTGGGGACCATGAACCAACACAACACGGATCCAGGGTCCAACCTGGCGCTGTAGCTCGGGAGCCAGCTGCCAGACCAGAACCTGGCGCAGAACCTGGGGCTGCCACTGCGGTGCTCCAGAGTCACGTGCCAGGTGCAACACTGCGCACCACTTCTGGGGCCACAGGCTGCTTCGGCAGGCACCTGCCGGGTCCCACCTCGCACCAGAGCGTGGTGCGCTGGAGCCAGGGCTGGACCCGACACACCAGGTCTGGGGCCACCTGCTGAGGACTAATCCCCACCTGACCCTGGGCAGAGCTGGCCCAGGCACTCAGTAACGCCTCCCTCGGACCCCCTGTATTAAAGGGGTCTTCGATTCCTCGGCAGGCCCCGCTGCGAAACCCCTTCACGTGTTCACAGGCCTGCGCACTTACGCCCCGCCCACAGGCCCCCGGAGCTCCGCCCTCACGTGATGCGCGCCCCTCTCCCGGGAGCCCCGCCCCCCAGACCAGTCGGAGACACTTACTGCGCGATGGCCGGCCCGCCGCCATGCCGGCTGTGCCAGCCTCTGCCGCCTCCGCCTCCGCCTCTGGTGGCGCGACTAGACGTGCCGGCTCCGTCAGCTGCAGGCACAAGCAGCGGGAGGGGGAGCGTCAGCAGCGCGCGGCCCCAGTCAAACTCAAGCCCCGCCCCCTCCGCGGGACCCGGATGTTGTGCGACCCCCCCGAGTCCCGGCACGCGCGCGCAGCAGTCAACCCCCCCGTTCAGCCCGTGCGGCGTTCCGCGCATGTGCACTGGGCTGCTCTGGTGTTGCTGCGGCTCCGGTCCGGTCCGTCCCGCCTGCCGGCTCACCGGCTTCTTCCGCCTCCGCCTTCGGGCCTCCAGCGCCGCCTGCAGCCTGCCCGCCTCCGCCTCCGCGTCGGCCTCAGCCTCAGCCTCAGCCCCAGCCCCGCGCTCCTGCCGCGTCCGCGGGGAGACACGTCGGTGCATGAAACAAATCACACGGGAAAGAAACACGTTTAGGCCTGCGGGGCCGTCCTGCCCTGAGCTCGGCTGGGCCGGGGGCCTGGGGAACCGCTCCCTCGTAGCTGGCACCTGCCCTGGGGGGCTGCTGGCGCCGGGCACCGTCTCCAGGAGACTGCTGAGAGTCACCGGGGAGATAAACGACGGGGCATTTGTTCAAATAAATACGAAATGCCGGCTCCCATTTAGACAGTAGTCCAGTGGGTTTTTAAAATGTAACAGTAATGTACAGGCGTGCAGCACAGTAGATTAATTGGGCGTTAATGTTCCATCGTGTGCTGAAACCTCCCGGGATAGATGCAGAGGTGGCAACCCGCGTGCCCAGGATCGAGGCCTTGCTGCGCTCCCTGTTTACCTGCCTGCTCCAGATTATGCACTGGTGCTGCCCTGCCCTCTTGCCTGCCAGGCCTCATGGGCCATGCACGGTCCCGTTATGGGCCACATCCAGCTGGTGGTCCTGATCCACTGCCCGAGGAGGGTGCGCCGGGGCCCCTTTCAGCCGCACAGAGGGTAATGGGCAGCCCAGCCCTGATCCAGGGGCTTGGCTCGCCTGGCAAAGGAGGAATGACCTGACCCCCGGCAGGGGGAAAGGGGAGTGATCTGGCCTCACACAGAAGCGAGTGGGCCCAGCCCTGATGTGGCCATGCGGAAAAGGGAATGGCCCAGATTCCACCTGCTGCAGGAGAACTCGGGAATTTGGCAGTAGAGGGAAGGTGGGGACAGTGGCAAATTTACCACGAAACAACCTGTGCGGTGACAGGGCCCCAAAATGCAGAACAAATCTGACAAATGACTAAATAAGCATTGCAAGTCGCAAAGCGGTCCAGAAATACATATATTACTCTTCATGTAATTGACAAAGGTGATGGATGAACAAAACCGTATCTCAATTTTTGGTGAAAGAAATGCCATTAAAACAATATGTGTCATAATTATTAAACTAACCTCCATAACCATCATCTGAGATTCTTCATTGAGATTCATGTTTGTGATACGTGGTACTTGGCTGTCACAAATAACACAGAAATTACTGGCGGGCCAATATACAGATTAAATACTTACACACTGATCCAACACAGGCATACCTCTGCACCATATATATATAACCTTTAGACTTCACATGATGTCTTAAAATATAATTATTTAATACTTCAAAGCAGTTTTGCAGTTTTGAAAACTGGATTTTTTCCTGTTTTTGTAATTCGCATAATCTTCAAACTAAGGCATAATATGTGATAATCCTTAATAGGAGTGATGCCACTGACAGTCTGTACTGTCATCCCTGCTTCCTGCATAGGAGCAGGGTACAAATGTATTAGGGATAAGAAAATGTGACCAGAAAATGTCACTCCGCTGCTAAAAACACCAAACAAGATTTAGGTAGTAAATTCAAAGGCTTTCCTAACTAGTGCTGGTGGCCAAACTAGCCCAAAGTATGGCTTGTATTCCTACAGCAGTACCAGCTATGCCCCATGCTAGTTAGGCAGCCCGGATCGGTGCAATCATACCAGCTCACAAGTTCATTCCCACTCCAGTACTGCACAGAACTGCTAAGTATAAAGGCATTGCGTAAAACTGAAACATCTGCCTGTTTGCAGCACTAATATCCCAGGGCAATATAAATATTATACTGCAGTAAATTATAGCATTTTAATACTTAGCAGATTTCACTTTTAAAACATTAGAATAGTCTTATATGTACATGAAAAGGACAAGGCCTTTGAATCATTTTAATGCTTTTCTAATATTTCTGGAAACTAAGTGCCATAAGAAACATTTTAAAAATATAATAAATAATTGAATTCCATGCTTTACACTAGAATACAAGAGATTTAAAATTATTCAGTATCACAGGGAGTTGCCTGTCTCCAGATGACTTACAACTGAAAATAGACATTTACTGCAGTTTACTAACTTCACTTTTAAAAATAAATTACCTTGAGAATCTTTATAAAAGTTGTTATAAAAATTGTTTTGAGGATTTCTGCATCTTAAGCTTTTCTCTAATAAAAGTGGAGAATGTGGAGATACTTTAAAAGCTTTAAAAAGGAAATATTTGGGTCATACCTGGGGTTTTTTTAGGCAGCATTTCAGGAGTTGCAATCAACAGCCTGCCATAACAAATACACCCATCTTAGCAACAAGGTTGCTAAGGAAGGTCACTGAGATTTGTTTTTAAAGAGAAAGAGTCAGCAAAGTGTCTATGGTTTGCTACATACACATAGGGAAAG